CTCATCTGTGGAGTATAACAACAGAGCAAAACTGAAGGAAGAAAACAGTAGCAGACTCACAGACTCCAAGAAGGGTCTAGCGGTTATCAAAGAGAAGGGGTTGGGGAGGGTGGGTGGGGAGGGAGAGAGAAGGGGATTAAGAGACATTATGATTAGCACACATAATGCAGGTGTCTCACAGGGAAGGCAGTATAGCACAGAGAAGACAAGTAGTGACTCTGTAGACTCTTACTACACTGATGGACAGTGACTGAAATGGGGTGTTGGGGCGACTGGATAATATGGGGAATGTAGTAACTACAATATTTTTCATATGAAACCTTTGTAAGATTGTATATCAATGATACCTTAATAAAAAAACACTCATTTTTGCTTAATTTTACAGAATGTTAAGGTGAAAACATTCAATTATTATAAAATCTTCATGTAGTGTTGTATATTAGGCAAACTACAGTTTTATGAAAGTTATAACTAGAGGGACTGAGGATTATTTGAGGATGTTTTTTCTTTTATTTTTCATGCGTTTTAGCAGCAGGTCATATTTTATTCATCCTTTGATTTTTCATTCAATTTATTACAACTCTTTTTTTTTTTTTTTGGTAAACACACTCCTCCCACAGGCCCTAGATCTGAGTAGTTAGCCCGGAAACATAGAGAAGATAAAATCCCATCTGGCCTCTAAACCCTTTGAAATATTAACCTCAGAATGCCTCCTGGCAACATGGTGGCAGGTCAGATCAACTTTAAAGTCTGGATCAGTGTGGTAAATGTTCACAAACTTACACTTAGTTTGAGCCCCTTCCATACTGCAAGGCCTTCTCCCACTTCCTCCCGTCCCCTCTTACAGTGAAGCCATCATCCTACAATAAGTACTACAGAGTTTTTCAAGAAAAGTATGAGATGAAAATCTGAAAAAGAGAATGTTCTAACAATGGTAGTTATTTATTCTTGGGGGTCTCCTCTGGGTTCCTTAGAATGACACAACCATTTAGTCTGTAAAGATTCTACATGCTTCTAGGGTACCAATATTTTAGCTCCAGGGGACACACTTCAAATGCCATAAAGAATATGTGGTAACAGAATTCCTCTTTTCCCAAATCTATATTAATTTATGGACCCTCTCATTTTTTTTTTTTTATTATTGAGGAGAGGACAACAGAGAAGTGTAAAGATGAAGGTTGATATAAAGATCAGTCTTCATGACAGTTTGCATGATGTTCACAAATGAAGAGAATCAAATTTTCATTTATTTGCAGAGCAAATTGGTGGGAGCATTTTTAATAGAAAGTGTCCTGAAAAATTTGGTGGCAAAGGCAAAGAGAGATTGTTACTGTCATTGCCAAAATAACTTCTGGAGTCCAGGCCCAGTTTCCTGTTGTTTGATGAGATGGTTTCCTACATTCATCAATAAATATACCATGTATTTTTCTTAAACAATCAATTACAGTTTATGCCACTTAAATATGTGTAATCTTCTTAAAATGTCTGTGGAATAATCTCTGAAGCATGTGATTAAGATTGTATTAAAATTGAATTAAGAAATTGAGCTTTTTAGTGCAGGCATACAAATCTTATTCATCACCTTCTCAAACTTAGTCTACTAGCTCAGTCATTCCATGAAACATAGTATTTAAAAGAATAGCTATTGTTTTTACTGCTCAGTTTCACATTATAATTATAGCAAAGTCAAATAGTCACTTATGATGATTAATGATCTCTCTCTGGTGTATGGAATTTAGCATTTTAGAATTTTAGCTTAGGTCTCACTGTGTCTGTTTAGTTGTCAAAATAATGTAATATTGTCCAGCCAATTCAAACAAATAAATTTCAAAACCTAGCAAGATCTAGGCCCAAGACAAGAGAATAACTAGAATTTAAGACATATAATGCAACATGGGGAGTTTCTGTCTAACAATGCTTTTTTTTTTTAAAGAAGATTGAGGTTATTTCTACCTGAAGGGCATCCATGGCATGTGTGAGATTACTAATTAATGGTAGAGCTGGAATAAAACTTTCCTGCCAATCCAGTCTTTGTGTTCCTCATTTTGGGTCATTAACAGCTGGTCTTCTTATAAAATTGCATAAAATTATAAAATTGTTATTTGAGGACTATATTTAACTAGATACACAGGAAGAACAAATTACCTTTTGTAAGGTTTTTTTTTTTTTTTTTTTTTTTTTACAATTGACAATGAGCTTTGACATCTTTCTGGAAAGTAGAAATTCAAATCCAAATAAACATGCCCACAGGAAAGGGCAAAATTAAGAACAGAGAAAAAATTTGATAGGTGACTATTAGAATAAGTTCAAGTGTCTGTTAAGTGTCAAATAATTTAATTTCCCTTTCACAGCCTCTAGACTTGGAATGTAAGGGGATTCTTTACTTTAAAAGAGTAATTTATTTTAACTGGTAATTTATTGCATTTATATTCCTTTCCTCGGCTGATTTTATTTCAAGGAAAGTGGAAGGAAATAATTAGACATACTGGAAATGACTTTCCTGAATTATTTTCTGATGCAGACATTATTTTCAATTATATTAAGTTTCTTTCTAATAAAAAAGAACACTGAAAGTGAGCAAGTTAGAGAAAAATTTTTGAGAAATGGTAATATATTGTCTAAGATGTGGAATTAAATGGAATTGAATGGAGTCTTTTTTTGTAGTCTGATATTTCTGTTGGGTAAGTAATGGTAGGCAGCTATTTATAACATATATTTAAAGAAAATATTCTGGTAAGTAGCAGTTTGCCCCTTTTGTGTCACCTCCCATGAATTGTCATTCATTTTCATGGAGTAGACAAGCTATCAATCAGGTTTCATTCAAGCATACAAAAAAATAATGTAATTATGATGACTCTATATTCATTGAGCCCAATTTCTTATGCATACTATATTTTGGATAAAACACCTGAGTTTTACATAAAAATAAAAATGAGAAAAAGTTAAAAGTAAAAAATTAATATACGGTTTTCTCCAGTCTCTGTTGAACTGATGTGTTTGAACTCTACTTCAACTATCATTGAAAGTGATAGCTAAATCATTAGTATTGCTCACCCAGTTGTATTTGCAGTAAAATATACACTGAAGATACATTTCAGATTGCTAGCCTGGATTTATGTTTGCCAAGTACATGGCTGCTTAGGAAAAATTACTATATGAAAATTATATATAATGTACTATTTATTACCAGGAGTACATGGAATTAAATGCTAACTAATTGAAAACATTGACCATTTTTTGTATTCCTTTTTTTCAGCATGAATTGAGGGTAACTGGGGATCATAATTTATAAAATTTATAAAATTCTATGGAACATTATCCTATGAAAGTAAATAATGAAATTTTATTATAATCAAATCTCAATTGGGAATAATGAAGGTATGAATAAAGTGACTGCACAATAAGAAATTGTTCATTCTTACATTGTTTCCAGATTAATTTTCAATTTTTGCCATTTTATTTGTTATCTAAGTTATTTACAATATTTTGGAATATGTATTTTTATTATGTGATCAATTTAGTTTTATATAATTTACATATATAGTGCCTGCTCAATGATATCTTTGGAATGGTCTTTTAAGTGTACAGTTAACACTGTTTTAAGGTTGTGGGACAGTTCATACTAGTTAACAGTCCCAGCTTCGAAGCAAGGATTATTCCTTTTGCTTTCCTAGCAGTTGGTTGCATGCCTGTCACAAGCCCATTCTGGTACAAGATTCTCCATTGTGTGGCAACCTAAACTTGCCCCTCCTCGTTTTTACTGGTCCCCTCAAGTCTTGGCCCCATCCTGGATTTTTTGAGTCAGAGACCTGCATTTTCACAAGATACCCAGGTGATTTCTACACTCATGAAAGCTTGGGAAGACCTGCTCTCAAAGAATGGTCCCATACATTTAAATGGATCCATTAAGTGCCAACAAGGGTTTGGTTCCTAATGTGTGTTACCTCGTGTAGTCCTCACTGCATCTTTACTATCATTCATTCTACTTAAGATATAAGCATTTTGTAGAAAGACTGTAGAAATAAAACTGCAATAATCCACCCTGTACCCTTCACCCAGCTTCAACAGTGCATGGCCAAACATGTTTCATGATTATCTACAAATGATTCAATAAGTGTCTCTACAAGAAATAGACTCCGTTTTTCTCAATTTAACCATACCATTTCCACTAAAATATGTAGTCATATTTTGGGGTGACATATTTTCCTACCCTTCAGAATCAAGGTCTAATCATCAGTTGGGATTGTATGAAATCTTTTGAGACTTTGTCTTCCTTTCTGTTCAATTAAACTCTAGATTCCTAAAGTGAAGGCATTGTTCATCCCATTTTGCAGAGGAGGAAACTAGAACTCAGATATTTAGTAAACTTGCTGGAGGCCTAGTAGCTAGTAAATGGCAGTAACAGAATTAAAACCAGGCTTGTCCACCTCTGTTAATCTTTCTCTATATGATATTGCTGCCTTTGACTCCACTTTTATTTTTACTCTCTCTGGTTAGTCTTTTGTACTTCTTGCCTAATTACTTCTTCTAAAAGATCTTCAGACCCTCACATGCTCATTTTGAAAACCTACACTTTAAAATACAGATTCTTGGGGGCTCAGACACCCTGCAAAAATGAACTCCCCTCCCACTATAAAAATAAATAAATAAACTCCTCTCCCACTATGAATTACGGAAAGGAAAAATCTTTCTTTCTTGCTTAATTGTTGATTTGTTTAAAGCAAACAGTCTACCCAGGATGTATGTAGCTATTAGGATCAACTACACTCAGTGCCATTCTGGGACCTTCTTAACCCATCTCTGTGTTCTGGTTGCCTGCAAAGTTTTCCCTGCACTACGGATTCAAGCCCTACATTTCTCCCCTAATCTAGAGCTTATGTTGCTTAGAAATGTACAATGAATGTATGTTTTTATAGTATATAGATTTTTCTTGCATCAGAAAGTTATCCTAATTTTTTCTGAGATTTTAGAATTTAATAATGTTGTTGGTTGTGTTTTAGATTGGAGAATTAATATACATTGTGGAAGGAATTGGTATGATCCCCTTGCCTTCCAGCTTCGTGACAACAGATTTTTCAACTCCATTTGACTACAGCACTTCTCCCAAAGAAGGTAGCGTATACGTATGTTTTCTTTCATTTATAATATTGAAGGATAGGACTGTTCCCCATGTAGTCACCTAAGCATCCTCATAGCAATTTTTTCCAATATATAATTAGATTTTAAAAGGTCTCTTTCAACTTTAATATGTCATCACCTATGGAATAGAGCATGATTTTAATGATTAAGAAAATGTCAATTACATTTTTTAAATATTTATTTTTTAGTCTTCAGATACATATTGAAATTTGGCATTCAAAATATTTACTCAGCAAAATTTCCATTTCCCAGATAATTTAGAAATCACTACACTCTTAAATTCTGTGTATTGTAATATAACCTGGACTTGTACCCTACATTGTAGTTTAAAGTGTAAGGTTGTTAGTGAAAAAAAAAGCGGCAGTTGTTGCCAGTCCTTGACAGATGTCTTTCTTTATACTTATTTCCATCCCCACCCCGACCTTCTAGTTGCTGATAGGAGCACAATTGTCACTGAATTTTTGAGCATACTGATAATGTTTCTATGAAAGAACCATTTGACTAGAAATCTTCTTAGATAATACCAGTAAAATATTTTGAATTCCTGAAGACTTACTCTTGAATTATTGAATTAGGGCTACAAGAAATGGGTTACCTATTTATTATAACTCTGTTTAGTGAAGACCACCTGCAGTTTTATATTTCAAACCTCCCAAGTCCATGCCCAATACAATGTCAAGGGTATAAATGATCATTGCAGTCCTGACTGGTTTTGCTTCCCCTAGTGTTTAATAAGGAAGATCCAGTTCTGTATTTGAAATGTGGCCTCCATCAAACGTTGGATGTGGACCTTAAATTGCCGCTGAGTAACAATGCCAAGGAGAAGGCTTTGGTTTTTGCAGCACAGCAGCAGATGTCGAATATAGAGTATGAGCGAAGGTTGCTCACAGGCACTCTGGAAAGCAGTAGTGTCCGCGTGGCCATCGCCCTCCTGGGACTGACCAAAATCGAGGTGGGAATGGAGGAGAGATGATGCACTTAAACTACTGTCTCTAAAAGTAATACAGAGCTGTTAGTATATTTTATGTAGAAAAGTGACGAATGTGTCCACAGAAAGACAGCTCAGCCACGTTTTTCTTTGTTACCTCATTAAATAATAAATCTGAAACAAAGCATTCTGATAATTTTCTTTAGTAGTAATAACTAAATGAGTAGTAACTAAGCATACTACTAATTTTAGGCATTACTGTGTAGTTGCTTAATTCACAGTTGTCTTCAATTCTGCCTGTATGTTAGAATGCCCTGGAAAACTTAAAATAATACTGGTGCTCAGGCCCCACTCCAGAGCAGTTAAATACAAATCTCCAGAAGAGGGTAGGTGGGGACATGTTCTAAAAGTTGCCCGGGATATGCTTCTGTACATCCAGAGAGAATTGCCTCTGGGACCACATTACCAGGCTAACAATCCAGACTGTTAACACTGTTCCACCTGTGTGATAGTAGACTGGTTACTTAAAAATCATCAAACTACAATTGCTATATTTTTAATGTGAAGATACTGGTAATTTAGGGAAGCTAAGTAAAATAATTTCATAAAATGCTTAGCATCTCCCCTCATATGCAGTAAGTGCTTTTTTTATATATAAGGCATTGTTACTGTTATTCATTATTGTTATTACTATAGACTCTATTATTACAGCTTGAACTCTGTTTTCTAATTGAAATAAGGTACAGTCTAGTCTCCACAGAGCTGCCCAAGTGATTATTTTTTCATTTTATGATTGAAATATAGTTGATACACAATATTATGTTGGTTTCAGATGTACAACATAGTGATTTGACAATTATATACATTACTAAATGCTCACCATAAGTGTAGTTGCTGTCTGTCAACACACAAAGAAATTACAGAATTATTGGCTATATTCCCTATGCTGTATTTCCATCCCCCTGACTAACTTACTTTATAATTTGAAGTTTGTACCACTTTATGCCCTTCACCTATGTCACCCATCACCCCACCTCCTCTATGGCACCCAACAGTCCATTCTCTGTGTTTATGAGTCTATTCTGTTGTTTGTTCATTTGTTTTGTTTTGTTCTAGAGTCCACATATATGTGAAATCGTGTGGTATTGGTCTTTTTCTGTCTGACTTATTTCACTTAGCATAATACCCTCTAGACTCATCTATGTTGTCCAAATGACAAGATTTCATTCTTTTTTATGTCTGAGTATATTCCATTGTGTATATGTACCACATCATCTTTGTCCATTCATCTATTTATTGATGGACACTTAGGTTGCTTCCATATCTTCGCTATTGTAAATAATGCTGCAAAAACATAAGGGTGTATATCTTTTTGAATCAGAGTTTTGTTTTCTTCAGGTAAATTTCCAGAAGTGGAATTATTGGGTCATATGGTATTTCTGTTTTTACTTTTTTCAGAAACCTCCATACTGTTTACCATAGTGGCACCAATTTACGTTCCCACCAACAGTGTAGGAGGGGTCTCTTTTCTCCACATCCTCACCAATACTTGTTATTTCTTGTTATTTTGATGCTATCTACTCTGGTGTGAGGTGGTATCTCATTGTGGCTTTGGTTTGTATTTCTGTGATGATTAGTGATGTGGAGTAAAGAAATTCTTTTAAAATGTGAGCCTGCTCATGTTGCTCCTGTGCACAGATTCCTCTACTGGCATTCCAGCTCATGTCAGAATGAAAACCAACATCCCTAGGGTCGTCTTCATGACCCTCCCAGTCAGTGCCACCCCCTTCCCTGGTCTCCGCTCCTCCCCCGGAGCCCGTGGACTCCTGCCCCTCCCTCAGCACAGGCCTCCTTGCTGTTGCTCAGACATCCAGGGTGTGCTCCCCACGGCCTGTGCACCTCCTCGTTGCTTTTCCCTGGGTATGAGAGGCTGCCTCCCTTAGTGACTTCAGGTCTGCTGGAATGCTGTCAGTGAGATTCTGCTTCACCAGTGTGTGTTTTAAAAAGCACTGCTTGCCTCCATCAGGCACTCTCTAAATCCTAAATTTCCTTCAATTTTCTCTATAGATAGCATTTATCACCTGAGAGTAGTGTATTTATTCCTCATTGTCTGTCTCCTGCAAGGGTGTTTTTTAGAAGCTATTGTTAAGTTAACTGTCATATTCCCAGTGCCTTGAAAAGTGTGTGCTGTGCCAAAGGTAGTTGCAAAATCTTTGTTCAATGAAGGGACAAATGGTAAATGTTTACATCCTTGTTGTTTAAGATGTACCTTCATTTATGTATGTTATAGCAAAATACTTGGCATTGTAGGATGATTTCTTTATTTGTCAAAATGCTAGAAACAGTATAGTCAAAGCACAGATTTCTAATAATTAATGATGATATTTTATGGATGACCTGGATTTTTAAATTCTGCTTAGCTCAAAAATATTAAGGCCTAAGGCTCTGACACCCTTTGGACTGACCCATCCCCACCTTGCATCTTAGAAGCTGATGGATCTCTTTAGGTTATATCAAAATGCTTACTTCTACTACAGAACAGTGAATTTGGGACAGTTTATGTTAAACTTTCAGTATACTGTTAAAAAAAATTTTCAGTATGTGGCCTTTCAAACTTTAAGGCTATTATAGCTCTCTCTCTTTCATTTTAAATACATTTTGTTCATTCTTACCTCTTGTAAAAAGATTTAAGCAAAAATGTTTGAGGAAGATGGATCCCCTTTCTGTTGTTTATGCTCTTTCTCCCTCTTTCTCTCTCGAACCCAACACGCTTTCTGTGTTTATCATTGTGTTGATCAAATGTTTGGTATAAGATTATTTTTTATATTTACCTGTTTCTCTAGGATTATGGATTCCTAGAAATCTAAAACCTTTTGTTGTTTTTTGTTGTTCTTTGCCCCTCAATGTCTTGTGCCTGAGAGGTGCTCTGTCAGTGTTTAATTGAATTGAACAAGTACCTGAGCAGAGAAATGACACTTCCAACCCTATGTCTTCATCGTACAGACCGATGTCAATCCATGTTGCCTCAAAGCCTGATTTTTCACGAAGTCATCCTGATCTTTACATATCCTTGTTTCTTTCTTCCAGTTATACGATGGTCGTCTATATGTGTGCACTTCTCTGAATTTGTTGTGTTCGTGGAAATAACAATTATTACTTATGAATAAACCTTGAATTTTTGAAATATTTATAGGATAATAAAAATATTATTTATCTACTCCGTATACTGTGAGAGACAGGATCTTTTGTGAGGATCTTGAATTTCTGACAAGTTGCCACTTCGTACTCATTTATAATAGCATTCATATTTTTCTGGCCATTAATAGACCAAGTTTAATGACACACTCAGTCATGCAGGAGAGAGTCAGAGATTTCGGAGTAGTTTCCTTATGTTTTCTATTAACTTCCTTAAGTTTATGTTTTAAAAGTCATGCTATGTACTCTAGCAGGAAAAATCATTGAAATTTTGAAATTTGAGAATATGTTTGAAGGGACTAAAACTATCTAAAAGATGTCCTTGGTGAGGATTTAGAAGGGTGAGGAGAGATGTTTTGAATCTGTGTAATTTAAGTGCACTCCATATCATGAAGTAAATCCTGTTGATACTGTTAAATATAAACAAAACTGGACCCTAGTTAGAGCGATAAGGATAGAGGTCACTCACTAACTGTTGCAATAGGGAGGAGGATCCAGCATAAACTGAACTCCAATTTGTGCAGAAGCAACTGGGTAGTTTCAAGTGAGGATGAGAAAATAAGGAGGGAGAATGAGCTGAGGGCTTGAGCAGAGTCAAGGAAGTGGACATTTATAATAAGTGGGAGGGGCTTAGTCAGTGTGATTACAATTTGTTAATTGACACTTACTGCTGGAGAAACACTTCTGGAACCTTTATGACTGGAGGTAGTGATGCAAGTTAGAGCAAGGTACTCACTTGGCTGGGAGTACTGCCTCCTTGAATGCATTTCGAAGAGAGGTTTCTGAGGTCCTTGAGAAAACAGTTTTGGGTGGTAGAAGATTTACATCTCAAGATGGAAGAGAAAGAATGTATAATTACAAGCTTTCTAAAGCAACTGTTCTAAGAAGGTATTCAGAACTATCTGCTTATCACCAGGTTTTGGCTTCAACAAACAGTATACTCTCCTGGCAGCCTTGAGCTTCCTCAGGTAGGCATTTTAGGGAGAACTGGGATCATCCTGGGGATATGTCCTGGGGCTGTTAGAAGCTATGTTATATGTTAGTGCTTGTTCTAATCTCTTAGTGTGTATGTATGAGGGAAGGGGGATGGCAAAAATCATTTGTGCTTAGAATCTGCAGTTTCTATCACCCAATGTTGAGGCCTAGTTAAGAAGAGGGCTTGGAGGAGCCTAACTAGAGTTTGGTCAAGAAGAGTATCTGTTAATACATGTTATTTTGAATGACTTGAAGATATAGAAGGCTGATGATACACATTCAGGTTAAAGAGCTAGTTGCTGATGTAAATAGATAATTTGTTCACAATGACTAGAAAAATGAACCAAACCCGAGCAATGATAAGTGTAAATGAATTAAAGTTCTGCATTTACATGATTTCAATTGCCAAAATAAAATTGGTAGAAAATGTGACTTTGTTGGGAAAAAAATCCTCACGGATTTTGTAGATAACAGACCCAGTGAATGAGATAATTGCTAAGGGCACTAACATTTGTTTTTGTTGAGTAATAATATGATGATCACGATATGATGCTGATGATGATGGTGATGGTGTTGACAAGGATGATGATAATAGTAGCCAACATTTATTGAATACTTAAAATATGCTCCAAGAACCTGGCATTTATTTATACTTTATTCACACCAGGGACAGGAAGTATGTACTATTATTGCCTATATTTTACAAATGAAGACTTTGTGGCTTTATATTAAAATTTTAATTTTTATTGATATATTGTAAATATCAATTTTATTTATATTTATTAATAACCTAGCCAAGCTTACTTAGAATTGGGGTACAAATACAGGCAGTCTGGCTCTAAGAATGCTTGGTCTAATCAGTGGGTGGTACTCTGTGGTTAGTAGTAGAGCATCCAGATAAAAATAAATGATTGCCTACCTCTGTGCTCTGCATTGCTTGGTTCATACTTACAGAGATGGTTTCTCCTCAGTGTTCCAATTTAGGAAGGATGGTATTGAACTAGGTTGTGTTTTATGCATATATGTGGGAGTGTGTTGTTTTAACCCACATCATATAAGGGGACTAAAAATATCAGACCTATTTAAAAGGGATGTTTGGATGTCTGTGGAGGTGTAGGACTTAGTTTATACACACACACACACACATATTCACAAAATTGTCAGTAGCAAAAGAGAGAAAATTAATTGTGCTACTCCTAAGAACTAGAAATGATGGGTAGATGTGAAGGAACACAGGGTTCAACTCAAGGAGAGAAGTACGTTTTCAATACTGTCCACTAGTGGAATGGTTTCTTCTCAAAGCAATGAATTCCTTAACATTGAAGGGCGTAGAGTAGGGAACATTGACCATCTCTCCATAAAGGGTGACTCGATTCTATGAAATGTGTTAGTGATGTCTTCTACCCATTAAACAACAATGTTTCTAAAGCAATGAACAAATTCAGCTCCTTGATGGGTTTTTCCCAAATATGGAGTCTCATTACATAATGTTATCTTTTGTGTTTTAGAGGTAAAGGGTGAAAGAGTTATATTCTAATTTTGCTCTGTGTTTATTTGCAGTCCTGTATGCTCTTTAATACCTCAAAGTTGAAGAAGCCTAAGGCCATTTTATACAATGTAGAACAGAGCCTCCCAGAATATTTTGATATCCCCAAGAAAATCTATATTCCTCAGATTGCAGAAGTTCAAGCTCAACTGATTCAATGTCAAGGAATTAAGCCTACAACTAAAACAGGTAATCAATAACATGTGGACTACAATACCTAGCACTGTCCTAGGCACTGTAAAATACTGAAATACAAAGAAAAGATTATCTCTACTAATAGAATGTTCATAGTATAATTTAAGAGGTAGTTCAACTACATAAATATGAATTATTGAATGATATTTTGCATGATAACTGAATTACTACATCACAGTAATCTAAATTATGTATTTGGCAATCTAGCGTAAAGAATGGTTTTTTTAATCTTTCCTACCTCCGGCTTTTTAGTGTTTTGTTAAATTTTTTAATGAATTACATATTCTGATAACTTTTTAATCTCTTTTGAGATAACTGGATAAAGCTGTATATATTATAAATCTAGCTAGGATTGTCAGTCCAAGCAATTCATTTATTCATATCAGCTAAATATTGGTACTAAAATTTGTGGATATGTCTTTGTTAAATAAGCAGTTAAGTGATAAAGACAGGTAGCTTTGAGAATGGTGAGCTCTTTCTTTGACAGTGAAATTGTTTATGGAAGTGTTGTAGTTGAGGCTTAGGCAGGATCTAGAGGATAGGCGGGATGCTGTTGGCAAGAGCCCATTAGGGAGAACAATTTATCTTTGAGCTGAACTAGAGCCTTTATTAGTTGAGTACTTACTCTTTGTCTCCTGGTACCCCTTTATTCTATTTTTGTGATCAGGAAAGAATAAGCCAGACTTAATAGAATACTAATAAATTTACAGTATTAAAAACAAGTGATAAGATGTAGACAATGTGACTAAATAATTTGAAATATTCAAAATTAATGCACATTTTTCTTTCACTTCTTTCCAAGCTAGTAGGTAATAATAGGAATACAATTTCTTTTCTAGGGCTATTCCTACAATGTATTGTAATTTCAGTGTCACGGATTCTAAGTTATGTTATTACTAACTTTGGTTTTATTCAGTTTTCATTTGTTCTTTTCCTATGGCTTCCAACTGTAAAATTTTCTGAATCTGGAATGGTGGTTACATATTGTAAGGTAAAGGACAATTTGTTCACTTTGCCTTCCTAGGAGATCTAAGATCCCAAATTCAAATCCTAAGTGACCAAGTAGATACAAAGGATTTATGAATTAGGTCTGGCCTAAGGCAAAGGAATAATGAAAACTATAACAAACTGGACAATAGAGGCCTTGTATAAGTATTCAAATTCCAAAAAATAAAAATGAAAGTTTGAGCCAGCTGGACAACTGTAAGGGAATATATGATTCTCCTTCTGTGACTCTGAGACTTCTCATATTCAATTATCTTTTTTTTTTTTTCAAATCTTTCTTACCTCCAGCTTTTCAGTGTGCTGCTGAATTTTTAAATGAATTACTTAATTTTGGCAACTTTTTAATCCCTTTTGAGATAACTGGATAAAGCTGTGTATATTATAAATCCTGCTAGGATTGTCAGTCTAAGCAATTCATTTATTCATCCATTCACTCAATAACATTAGTGAGCCTTAATTCCTTTGGGCAAAATGATGAAAATTGCCATGTTCATCCCTTTGAAGGTCCAACAGAAAAGTAGCTCTTATAATATAATGGGATAAATATTATTGATAGAGCACTTTTATAGAGTGTTTACATATAAAAAACTGACATTAATACAGTTGATTATATAGGATAATTCAAATTTTAAAGAATTTCACTCAGTAAATTTACATAAGGATACATAGAGTAGACTTGACATGAAACTCAAAGTGAAGATGGTGGCATATTGATAAGATGGTGCTTACTTATAAATAAGTATGCAGTTATTTATATTTCAAAGTTTTACACTCAGATATTTTTCTATGACTAATATTTTTCTTTCCAATCAACTGTTAACTATCCATTTGAGTACTAAGATTAATGAGAAAATTAAGAAACAATAGAATTGTAAACAATTTTAAAAGATTGTTCTTAAAACTTTAAAAATGTAATTAGCCTATCATGGTTCATGTCTAACTTGATTTTCTGTGCAGTTGAGTTTACAAAGAAAGCTTTCAGCCCAAGTTTCTGTTTTCTTTTCCTTCAGTATATTTAAATAAAGTAAGTTTACAAAAACAGAGTATTTTAACTCGGGATAGTAGCAGTTCAAATAAAATACAGACAATGAACAATGTGCATTCAATTGTTAAGCAGTAGACTCAATTAATAAAAGGGAAACGAATGTAAGCATTTTACAATGAAAATTATTAAATAACATCCTGTTGGAAATTGAGACAATATTAGAGTTAAGGGTTTAAAAGCTCATTTTTATGGTATAAGCCACTTTGAAGAGAACAAACCAGCAAATTCCTAACCATATAGTAAGACAGAAACAAATCTTTGTTTTTTTTTATGGGTGGTGTGGAGAAAGAAAGAAATGATGTGTTTATGGGGAAAAGTAGATAGTCCAGTGCTCCTATTAATTGCAGGGAAGGGGTGGCAATAGGTTCATATGTATCATCTCTTGAAGTTCTAAACTCATCCAAAGAGCTAGTTTTGAGATATTAAAAATGACTGTCTTCTGCCCTCTCATATTAATATTGCCTATCAGTCTTTACCTTTTTGAAATTCTTACTGAAAATTTCACATTTATGATTAAAAATAGCTATTCCCAAAATTAAAAATAATCTACTTAAATCCCTGTTTTACTTCAGCCCCATCATTTAGAAAAATATTGTTTCCCTTTCTCCCATTTAACATTATAAGACATTTATCTGAAGGAAATGAAGCTATAACGAAAGTGCTTGTGTACACAAGTAGGTACATCAGTCTCTGTAAATGCGACAGATTTCCTGTGGAAGAAAGACATCATTTGTTGTCCCACTACGAAGATCTCAGAGATCCTGTGACTCTTTTATGTTAGTGGCCTGGAGTAGTTCTAATATTTTACTGAGCATCAACAATATGGAGAGCACTGTGATGATTGGTCTGTGTTACTTTTTCTTATTTAATTCTCCCAATAGATAATTCTGTCTCAGACCCCATTGAGGTATCGATCCTTCTACTTGCTTATCCACAGACTCTTGCGTTTCTCACAGCAACCTTTCCATGCTGTTACTAGTTTTCTCAAACATTATCTTCACTCCAGTGTTTTCCCCATCTCCAGCCTCCACTGGGCAAGTGACTATGTCTCCTCTCTCATACAGGAAAAGGGGCTACCTGAACACACACTCTTCCATACCCCTCTAATCGTCTTCTCTCCAGTCTCCATATAAAAGGAATCTTCTCTATCAGCCTTGCTATGTGTATCCTTTATCTTATTCCAGATAACCCGTTCTTGGACTCTTCTTCATCATTTATCTCGTGAGAGTAGTTCCTTTACTTTTGACTCCCAAACCTCAGGCTTCCAAAACTAAAGAAATGCATACTTTTCCCACGGCAAACATACTTCTCAGTCGAGGGATCTGCACTTGCAGTTTCTGTTCTTACATGACTAGTTCTCAACCTCTCAAATCTGGTTTTTGCTCTACTGCTGTAGTAAAACAGTCAGTTGCTTTCTAATTACTAAATCCAGTGAACCATTCTCAGTCTACATTTTATTGCATCTCTCCTGCATTTAGCCTGAATGATTAAGCATCTACTCTTAGAATTCTAGACATTGGAGATAAAGCTTTATCCTCATTCCCTGCATTTTTTCTTCATCTCCTTGATAAGATTTCTAGTCTTTTTGTGAGATCTGTTTATCCTGTCAGTGTGGGAATCTTCAGGGCTCCTCTTGTCCAACTGGGGCTGTTACTGTATGCATCCCCGAGGGGATCTTGTACACTTCCAAGAAGCAGCTATCATTAACATCACTGACATTTATCTCTGTTTCTACCCTTTTCTTTCTACTTTCAACTTATATATTCAGAGGTAGACTAGACATGCCTACCTAGAAGTGTATTTATATCAATATCAGAATTCATATGTACACATACACACAAATAAGTACATAAATAGAGAGCTATATCCCTCAAATTGAAAACAAATGCATTATTATTCTCCATTTATTTGTTCCTCATCATATAATCTTTATCGTTTCATATGGTAGGACGTGTATCCTCCCAGTCTCTCGTACTAGAAATCTGGGCATACTGCTTGAAACATCTCATTTCTGAGCCCATACTTGAATTCATCTTGTAGTGTTAAATTTTCTGTAATTTATCTCCTTCCCTTTTTTGCGCTCACTGTTATGACCCAGGCCTTCATCAGCACTTCACAAGTGGAGAAAATGACCACATCTCCCTTTTTTGAATTAGGGGCAAATTTAATGAGATAACATATGCCAAGAATTTAAATGCTGTACAGTTTACCCAGTGAATATTGGCTATCATTAATATTCTGATCTCTTCACCTTTAAAGCAGTTCACATGTAAGCATAAGAATATTAAATCTGACCAAGAACTATTACTGAAAACATTCAGTGATTTCAGAGGCAGATTTACTGTGATACCAAAAGAGCATAAACTTTATGATTCTTCACTTTTTTGACACCCCTTCCTAGTCTTTAAACCTAGTTTTATACTTGTAATGTTGCATTCTTTCTCTAAATGAAGGCCTCCTAAATTATAAGAGCCTCAGGCTTCATAAATCCTGGACTTTTTTACCTTGTAGATATTAATTTAAAATCTCATGTACTTGTGGTTCTTGGATGTTGACATCGATGCACGTGTAGAGTTGTATGGACCTTAAGTAGGCATAGGTAAGCAGGAAGCCCAAGGATCCAGAAGTGCTTGTCTCAGTCACCCAAGTATAGAGGAGCCTTTGTGTTCTGTGCCACCTATGAAAAATATGTGCAGGGACCTTCAAACAAAATGCTCTGGGATTAGATTCTGGCAGGATATCAGTAATCCACATATTACATTGAACTTTATAAGATCATAAAGAATAAGAACCAGGAAAGGCAAGGAGCATACTGCTCTGCTATTGATCTTTAAATTTATATTTCATTATAAGTATAACTGGTTTTCTTCTGAGAAGACTTGTAAGCATAATCATATAACACCTGTCACTTGAATTTGTATCAAGTGAAAAATAAAAGGATATT